TGTGTGGGCAACTGACTGATTTCCACCAGGCTGCAACTTCCGAATGACCTTGGCTGCAATGAGGTCAATGTCCTCATGCTTGTTGCTTTCGGCAAGATTTGATTTCCTGGGTGCCTTGACTGGTGTGTGATATTGTCCCCACGGATCATCAAACTCCCATGGGTCCTTCTCAGCAGCTTCAGGCACATCGGACGCTTTCAAGAAGGCCATTGTTTTGGCCGATGCTTGGATGTTAGTCCTCAAAGCGGCCGGCTTGAATGGCTTCTTCTGAACCTCGGTGATGAGCACGTCCGCATGTTCTAACTGATATACTTCAAAAGGGGGTTTGCAGATTGCCTGGCATTCCCAAACCACCCCCTTTCCATCTGGAGTCCTGTGCTTTGGCTGGACAGGCCGTGCTTGCCATGACCATGATTGGAACAACTTGTTGAGTGCACTTCGGTTGGATCCATGTGGGATGGGACCTACGTGATATGTCATCACCTGGTCACTGGTCAGGAATGGCGTCATGGGCTTGTGTTGCTCATGGACTTTCTGGGCATTGTCAACCGAAACTCTAAGTCCAAAACGTCCACCTGACCTGACTATGCATGTCCATACGGCAGTGCTTTGGGAGGCAATCATGGCACCTTGTTTGTCATACTTATTGAGCCAAATCACCCTGAAGGCAGGGTCAGGGGAGCGTCCATCAGAACTGCGTGGTTCAATGTAGCAGCCAGCAACTCCTGAGTCTTTAAGGGCATCGGCAATGTCACTGCATTCCAGCCTAAATGAGGCCATGAACATGCTTGCTTCGGCAGGTCGTGTTCTCTCCATTTTGTCGTTCAACCATTGCCTGTCCCAAACGTCCATGATGGCTGATGTACCTTCCCTGGTAGGATGCAAAAGTTTGACAACCTCAACAAGGTGTTTGACTGGCTTGTCCAGGATCGTTTCCCATTTCTTGTCAATCTCATCTCGATACATGATGACCCGGATGACAGTGGTGTGGACCTCTTCTACCTTCACTGCATGTTCGGGTGTGATGCGACTGACGATACTGGCTCCAAGCTGAACCAACTTTGCCGATATGAGGATGGGCTCGCTGGTCTTCTCAAACCTGGCTGGGAATCGGATCTCTTCTCCTACTCCATGCATGAGTGGGTCATGATGGTCCAATACCAACAATGCGAGTCCTTGTTTTGAGACCGGCTGGGCAAACTTAAGGTAGGGGACGGCTTGTTGTGCATGCACTACAATTACCCCTCTGGCATCTGGCCCAATGTTGGCGATGGCTTTCTGGTGGACTGGCTGTCCGGATGCATCTTGGAAAATTCCTTCTGGAATACCAATGTCATCAGCTGCAATCTGGATGGGTGGCTTGGACTGCTGAGCATGTTTCTTTTTGTTCTGCTTTGTTCCAAATTTCTGCTGATGGTCAGTTCTGGTCTTGATAACCGCCTGAAGTTCACTTTCGAGTACCAACTGGAGTTTTGGGGCACACTGATTGGCAATCTGTTTCAACTCCCGCCAAGGGTGAGTGCTACGCATTGTCTTTGTAACAGTGGAACGTCCTAGTTTGTCCAGGATGATATTGGCCCTGTCATTGGCTTGATCTTTGGGAACACCATGGTCTTGGAGCAATTGTTGCAATTGTTGGATGGCATCCCCTCCACTTGCGCCCCCAAAACAAAACTGGGTAGGCGACACAACGACATCAGCCAATTCCTTGACGATCAAGTGGTGTTCAAACAGACCTCTCCATGCAATGGCAGTGGCAGGTGACACAGGTCGGTACTGGCCCTTGTGGTGCGCAGGGTCAAACACGAAACTCATGATCCATCCTACGCACTGGAAACCACAGTCATTGGGGAAACTGCTCTCGATGTCAATGGTTTGAATCGAACATGTTGTTCCCATGTCATGTGTTGCCAACTTGACCCATTCATACCCCCCAGGAGTGGTCGAAATCTGAACGTGTCCATGTGCAAACTTCATACCAACCGGAAACCAGTGGTGTTGTGCAAAGATTGCAGTGACAATATTGCATGGTCCCTCGGCAACAAGCATGGCCTTAGCAAACCAATTTTTCATGGTGAGGACCAGGTCCTCATCCTCAATGTCCTCGGGGACAATTGCTACTGGTGTGTGGATTGCTTGACCAGTGGCCGTCAACATTGCCAGGTAATGGGCCATCTCATCATCCGCAACAAATGCCTCTTGACGGTACAGCAACGCAAGTCTGGTGGTCAAATCATGCTGCAAGATCTCTGGGGGGATCGTGATGGCCTCATGCGATCTTCCACTGCCATATTTTGCCATTTCCTTGAGGAAATCTGTTGGAATGGTTGCGTGGTGGCAGCTGACAAGACACGTGTACCTACACAAGTATTGACACAAATTGGGGGGTTCAAGCTCCCAAGTCTGGTTTCGGCAACTGTGATTGTTCCAACTGTGGCATGGGGTGCAACCTTGATGAAGGTGGGCTTGTCATCATCTTGTCGAATGACTTGGATGCAGTGTGCCGTGCTGGTGTCCTCATGACATTGTCTTTCATGACTCTCAACTGCTAGAAGCATGTCCTGAGTGAGTCCATCATCGTGATTAGTCCCCTTGATTGCTTCATTTGCAAAACCTCCATGATCATTGGTGTCAATTGGGTTGGGCAGTGACAATTTCGGTGGGTCTGTTTCCCGTTTGGTGTCATGAACCACGTGCCCATCAAGGCCCTTGCAGTCATTGGCCCCCACACCCTGAAGACCCTTGGTGGCTCCTGGATGGGCATCATCATCATGAGGGAAATCTACTGGGACATGTGCGGGTGCATCATGAGGTCGGCAAGGCACGGTTGCATGGCTTTCACAAGTCGGATGCTTCCTGGCTACTTTGGCCGGGGTACTCACAGGATGAGCCGGTCTCTTGTTTGATGAGGCGAATGCGGCAAGGCCACCTGTACTTTTGTCAGGCTTGACAATTGGGATTTCCCTACTTTCGGCAGGAGTGCAATCATGCGGATGCTTGGCGTTTTGGTCAAAAGCTTCTGTCAGCTTTTGTTCACTTTTGGATGTTCCTACTTCGCATGGGTGGGGGGTTGGGCCACCAGTGACTGGAGCACTCGGTGGCATGGCCTGAAAAGACATAGGAGGGTGGAGTGCTTGCGTCTCCTCCGCCTTTTTTGTTTCAGGTTCTGGGGGCCTGATCCCTGGCTGTTTGTCACCATTCACAAGTTCTTGCGTCTTGACCGCTGGCTGTTGAATCACCCCATTGGGCACAATTTGTAGCAGGTCTTTGCGTCCTGTCCGCTGGCTGTTTTCTTCGTTCTTGTCATTTTCAACCACTAGAGCTGTACATTGAGGCCCTTTGGCCGTGGCGACTCTACCCAAGAGGACCCCTCGGACTTCTTGCATGTACATTTGGAAACCATCTGTTTTGTACACCTGCTGTTGTGTGTGTGAAACCGCTGCAGCAAACCTACAAAAATGGTTCCAAAGGTGCCTTCCGGCAAACGGACTGGCAAACCCTGAGCACTGTCACAGGCTGACAATAGGTGTCCAGTGACCCAACATGATTGGACTGGCGATGCCATTTGTCCCAAGGCAGCAATGGAAAAACGCAATGGGTGCCATTCGAATTCAGGGATGCCCCCATGAATTACACACATTTCCCATGGATGGAGGTGTCTGGTTTTGGGCAGGGGGCCCATCGATGTGGTGAATTCACCAGCAATTCTCACCAATGCACCAAACAAACCTTTGGCCTTCAGCCTTTCATCGGACATGGGGTACTTACGGCATTTGCATGGGCATGGTGTGAGCTGGTTTGCCCATCCATGTAGTGCAGTGCGAAGGACCCCATCATGTTTGACCATGTTATGCTCAAATCCCCCAAACTCAGCAAATTTCCGGGTTTCATACTGGTCCAACTCAAGTTGTTTCATGTGGTGCGAAGGCCATGCAGGGCAAACCGGGATCACATCACCCACAACAGGCTGTCGGGAAAGCTTAGGCAAAGGCTGCAGTTCTATTTCAGGCAATGTTCCATTGGAAAGCAGGCACCACCAACGTGTCCTTCTGGTGGGCATGATGGATTCCAATGTCAACTCGGTTTCTGACTGTCGGAATTGAGTGAGCTTGCAATATTCAGCAATCACAGCTCGAACTTCCTTGTCCCGACTTGCCTCAACAACACACTCAAGTTGGATTGCAAAAGCCCTGAGGTAAAAACCAGCTCGCAACAGGCCAATCAAGGATTTGGATCTGGGGTCTTTCATCCCGCCTTTGTCTCCAAGAGCCGACCAGGGCTGGCAGCTAAACCCTCCACAAAGCAAAACCGGGCAACCATGTGCTGCATGCAGTTCGGCCACAACTTCGGCTGTGCTGATGTCACCTTGGATAACATTACACGCACCTTGCCTTGTTTGAAAGGCACAATTCATTTCCTGCAAGTCATTGGTTGCCTTAAGGTCAAGGCCACATGAAGTCAAACCCTGTGACATCATTGCGATGCCGGCACAAACTTCCATGGCCCCTGTGTACATAGTGGTGTTGGGGATAGGAAGACCCAAAGCATATCCCCCGCTACACTCCAAATGGAATTTCCCTTCATTGACCATCAATTTGCACTGCAAGAAACTAAAGGCCTGGTGGTTGGCCAATGCTCCCGAAACAGTGAAAAGTCGTTTGTGAATGACACTACGGAACAAGTGTTTGCGTCCGGTTTTGTCATGAACTATGATGTCCCCTTGGATGTCCACGATGTCCTCGGATTGAACAGTGGTCCAGTCAGGTTCCAAGCAAAGAGGCGTCTCTCCATAGCTAGTCATCCCCCCCAAGTTTCAGTTCGAACGGACCTACCACTGGGAGGACTTGGGCCAAGGTCTGTGTGTCAAAACCTTGTACCCCTGGTGAACATCAAAATAGCTGGTAAATGGATGTTCATCCCCCTAAAAATGGTATTAAGAGGTATTGATCCATACCCAAGTGACAAGTGCCCTTCCTGCCTGTCCTTGTACTGTCCGATAGGCCATGAAGTACATGAGATCTGCCGCTGAAAATGGTATTGCAGATGCTCAGTCGGAGACTTAATCGTCAATACCCATTGGACATAATTTTTCATAATTCCCTTCGCTTTGGTGCTCAGTCTCCTTCGCATCAGCTTGCACTTTCAGTCTTGGGCAATCCACAGTCTAGATCAGTCGAGTAGATCCCATTGGATCATAACATCTTCCACAATTCTACTCACCATATCCTTTTGAGTGCCCAAATCATATTGGGCAATCTTCTTGCCTCCAATCTATCAATGAGAGCGCACTTTAAATTGTAGCATCGTTTTCGCAAACACCCCCGAACTGCAACGCTGGGACTCAACCATGACCTGCCATGGCCCAGTTCTGAGGTATGCTCTTGGGATGATTTTACTACAAACCCAAGACTTGGAGTGGGCGGTTCGGAGCCCAATTGTAGCACCAGCTGCTGCTGAAGTAGAAGAAGCATGAAATATTCAAGTAATTCAGGATGTCTTGATTGTGGCAAATTCTGCATCAGACTATGTAGGAGAAGTTTCGGATTCGCGAGCCAAACAAATCGACCTGCCTTTTTGGCAACAAAAACTCATTTAGCATTATGGATCATATGGATCTTGTAAGGTGAGTTGCACCTGGCGTTGAGGCTCATTGGCTTAACCAAGCCGCACAGAAAGGTGACAGTCGGGCACAATACCAAATTGCCAGGTCTGCAGGGGAGGAGGGAATTCATAGTGAATCAGGAACAACTGGGCAATATCACTTAGCACGGAAAAAAACATGATTGTTATGAACGTTTATGTACAATGACCTCCTGACTGATGGTTTGTTGGTGGAATAGGAAGATTTTGACAGGTGGCCAAACTTTTATCTCGGTGTCCTTGATGCATGGTTCATGGCCCGTGTACATGCGTACAGCATAATTCGAGCGCCATAGCAGCAATAGCACTGGCATCTTGAAGCATGGTCAAGATATGATTTTCATTTAGCAGTTGGCATCTAAGTTCATCCCATATTCATACGTATTATATATATAATTATATATATATGTATATTAATTAATTAGACATATGTTCATCCCATTTCTCCATCCGGAAGCTCAGCCTCGGGGCAGGATGTTTCTCTATGGTGCTGGCTTGGAACAAGATGAGGCGACAGCTGCGCAATGGGCATCCGCAGCTGCCAATAGTGGCCTACAGGACGGTTGCGCTCGGAATAGCGGGCTGTGAACAGCTTGTCATCAGCTCAATTTTACAGTGAACAGAAAGGGTTAGATGGGTTTTGACTTTCGACCCATCCCTATCTGAGGTACTTCTGCAAGTTGTGTGGCACAAACATGTGTGAAAGAGATCCATAGTTTACTATTGTGTGTTTAGTTACTCTGTTTAGTGTCTGCTTTCCTTCAAAGACGGTCTTCCTCAAGCCAGGATGCCCAATACCTGATGGGCACAATGCTCCTTTCCGGTCAAGGCCTACTAAAAAATCCGGCCAATCCGGCCATCCTGCAGCTTCGTTGGGCTTACAACACCTCCCGACTTGCTATGGTTCGGCTCATGGGGTATGTGTAAAAACAGAAACTCTGCTGATAGATGATGATAGATGAGTGAATAGGCAGGTTTGAAAGATACTCTGAGTATCTCTGATTTATTTGCTGGCCCGTGCCCCTGCAATCTCTCTCCCAGAGTGTATGTAGCTCAGGCGTGGAACAAAATATGGCCTGGGCAGCTCATTGGTTTGAGCAGGCCGTGGTGAGAGTTAATGGCTGGGGACCAATAGCTTGGAGCGGCATGCTCAGCAGATATGTCAAGGACATAGAAAAGGAGGGTCAGAATGGCCGTGAATGGCGGTGTCAGACTTTGTCATATTATGTCATATTATATCTTCAGAATCCAATCTGAGGGATTTGCTTTTGAGCGAAGATGAGCGAAGGTCTGGAAATCGAAGGCTTGAGGAATGTTCCTTTCACTTTGCTGTAATGACAACCACTTGGTTTATCATTATTTTCCCATATTTTCCCTATGAAATTGCTATGAATTGAGCGCGTCCATCATGATTCGCAATTCGTTTCCATTATTCATGGGTTTAACCCCTATGTTTCATGGCTCAATCCACAATTTCTTCCCATGTTTGATGGTACAAAACTCCACCTCGGGAGCGAAATTCCGGAGAGGCAGCTCTACAGGGCCATGTAGATGCTCAGTACAACTTGGGCTTGATGTACCTTGTTTCAATGGATGGTTTTGTTGGGGAACATTTACACTGAACCATTCAGTCTGAACCATGGTGTTCTAATATGTTCAAATAACGGCAAATAAAACCCGGATGTAGATCCCTTCAATACTGGGATTGTTGAATATTCAGCCTTGCATCAGCTTACTGTGGCTGTCTGAAGGGCAAGGGATGCACCCTGATGCACATGCATCGTCCCCTAGTTTCTGGCTGACTCAAAAGAACCCCACTCGCACAACGATTTCTAAACTAAGGTTGGAGTCTGGCGATGGCGTGCCAGAGGAAGTGTTTGTGCCATTGTGTATGGCGAATCCTAAACAGCTCAAAGGGGTATTGCCGTCTACACCTCTGACAGTGCTGCCACTTGTGAGCTTTTCAAGTGTACTTTAACATGTTGTCGAATAGACTGACCATTTCTTCCGCATCCTTCAGGATTCATTCAGCAAGAGACCACAACCATCGGTTTCGACACATGATAACATGATTCATGTGATAAACCCAACAGCTACAATCCCCAATATTGCCATAAATGGGTGGTACAAACCATCCCCAAATAGTAGGTTTACGGTTTACGGTGAATCCCACAGTACCTGGTGACCCCTGGTTCCCTCTGGTATGGCTCGTAGGACAAAGAGAAGGCAGCGTACTGGTTGGAAAAGGCCGGCCCATGACCGTGGAGTGGCGAGGAAAACTTACGTTTGTGACTCAGAACAACATGAAATAGGGGGACAATTAAAGAACTTCTGAGCTTCAGTGTCACTAGGTGGAAGGTGCAGTCTTCCTACATGGGTGTATCTGAAAATGAGGTGTATCCGCAAATGGCCACTTGAAAAAAATAGGGAAGACTACTTAGATGGGCCATGGGATTAGCTAAATGGTTAGTAACTGGGGATATAACCCTCTATATCCCAATTATAATCCATTTACTAACTAGTTAACTAACTCCATGGCCCATCTAAGTAGGGATGATGATGGTTTAGGAAAACATCTACCAGATCTCCCTGCAGGCTGCATCTCAAGGGGATGATGAAGCTGCAAAGACCAGGGAGGAGGTTCGAGGAGCGCAGGCGAGGGCGAGAAAATGGGCTGGAATTGATGGAGGATTTACCCCCCTTTTTTAGGCCATTTTCAAGAGGAATCTCGTGATATATCATGATTAACATTGATTAACATTGATTAACCAAGTAACTTGGGAGTACCCTATTATCAGACTAAACCATTTGGAGTGCGACTTCATCTTCAAAACGCACGATGTCTGCGCATGAAGCACCACCTGCAAGGCATAGTGGCCTGACTGAGGATGCGCCATCGGCCACGTTTGAAAAAAGATGGTGAATGTTGCTTTCTTGTCATCAATTACCAGCAAGTTTCCATTTGTGTTTTTAAGTTGCATTTAAAGTGTCCCTGCAACTATATTCATGAGCTGATTCTTTCAGTGAGTCAAGGTTTTTGCCTTAAAGGGCACTTCCTGGTAAAATAGTGAATGAAATCCGTCATCTTAATCATTTGAAACATGCTGAGTTTAGAAGGCTGCAGAGAGACAAAATTGTGATTTGCCAGTTCTGATCCGCTGCTGAGAGACTGACACCTGGGACAGGGAGAGTGATGGCTCAAGGATGAACATCGTGGGATGGGGGCAAAACATGGCAAAACCATTGCCTGACTGGACATCCCACCTTTTCCTGATAAAGGGATTTAGATTCCCAGAGGGTAGATCAACTTCAATTCCCCTTTTCACATCTGAAATTGGTCCCCACAGCCTTGCTTTGATGAGAACATTGCTGCATTTTTCAGTGCCCAGGCCAATCAGTCTACAACCTTATGATCTTTTATTGGGGAATGAACATCAAACCTAATCAAGCAATCCATTGTCTTCTATTGTCTCGTGGGTCGGGGATTGCTATCCCATGATGGAGTGCACAGCAGGGCGCAAAATGATTCTGGGCAGAGCAGGGATGAAAGGGGTCGCAACGCTTGGCAAACAAGAACCCCATCAGGAAATTCAAGGGCCATTGAAATGGATATGAATGGATAGACCACCTCATCCAAAGCCACAGATGGACCGCAAGTTTCTGTTTTATCAACTTGGCCCAGACATGCCGGTTTGAGCAACTCCTGAGATTGGTGCCTGTATCCCAAGCACTGCTGGATTTCTACCATCATTTGCCTTGTTCCATGTTTTATCGTTCATATCCTTCCTGATTTCTTCATCTTTTCTCACTACGACGGTGGAGCGCATGGGGGTAGGCTGATACGTTTCTGCAGCCCTGGCCTCACAGGCAAAGATAGCCATGCAAATGTGCAAAGCCGACCCACCACGATAGATTTGATCAAGGTGAAACAGGAGAGATTGCGGAGAATTCGACCGAGTTTTGGTATGTTTTGGTAATTGTTGCAACTATCCTTCTCGAACAGAGAAGAGAAAGTTCACACAGCAGAAATTGATGCCGTGGGTTAAACCGCTATGAAGAAAATGGAGATCATGTCTTGGAATCTATTCAGCACCAACTGAGACTATGTTTTGCATCAAGATACAACAGCAGACTGCAGCGTCACTGTGATGTGGCCGTGGCATCCGCTGAGATGTTCAAGAACTTGCTGAACAAAGTTAGGGCACCTGTAGTCAGGCCAATGCACCTGGCTGTTATAACTTCTAGTTTTGCTTTGCAGTGTTTTTTTTTGTATTCATCAATACCCTCTGGTAATTTAACATAGCTATTGAAAATGACCATTTATAGTGGATTTTCCCATTAAAAATGGTGTTTACCAGAGGATATTCATCATTATGACAATCACAGGGTAGAGTTTGTTTTTTCGACATTTAGATGATGGCGGCGCCCAGGTTGGATTGGGAGAGCTTCCAAGCAGTTTTGGTTACACCGTTGGCGACAAGGCGCTGATCAAAATCACTTGAAAAAAGTGTCTAACGACTGGAATTCACCGTGTAATGCAACTTGATCAAACATGTTTCCCATAAATGTTCTTTTTCTGGTCAAACTTTAAGGTGCTTTCATCGCCCATGGAAAGTCTGATTTGAGTATGTTTTGGGAAGGGGATTCTTTATGTAAAAACCTATATAAATTTAACCCCCTTGGATCTCAACCCCAATTTTCATTTAAATGAAGGCATGTCAACTTGGCGGAAAGCACTCCATGCAATCCTAAGGGTCACACTCGTATCAGTCATCATGTGCAGAGTACTGGCCTGGTAGCTGGAGGTGGAACTTCCATTTTCCTGGAACTGGGAGCTTCACAAAGGCAACTAGCTGCAGTTCTTTTGTCATTGCTGAGCTGCTACTCTTGATTTTTGAGCTTTGTGGAATGGTCATGTCGTTTCTGAAATTCAGACTCAAAATCATGGTAATCATGGACCTCCAAACCCACAGTGTTTGTTTCCCACATTCTGAGGCACATTCTGAGGTAAACCCTTTAAATTCTGTGACCAGTATCGAGTTGCTCCCTGCAGCACTGCAAACTGCAATCGCGTTTCGCTGGTCGTTGAGGTCAAAAGAAAAGCGATGGCAGCGCCGTGTCTGTTTTCATGTGTCCAAAGAAGGACATGGATCCAGCCAAGGCTGCTGTTGTGTTTGCGCACGTTTGGAAGGGCCCCCCACAGGATGGGTAAGTTAAGTTGCTTCAACCAGGCGAAGTAGCATTTATGGGCGATATATCATCAGATAGGCTTAGGCAACTTGTCACTGGAGGGGGCTTCAAAATGGACTGGACTGGACTCCAATTGTCTCGAGGTCAGCTTTTCAAAACATTCGTTGTCGCGTAGCGTGATGTTGTCGCAAGGGATTTCCTAGACAAGGGCCTTCAGGATGATATAGGATGATTGAGAATAGCAGTGATACATCGAAAGTGATGCTGCCATGTGCAGATTGCGGCTGCAAAGAATGCAGATCAAGTCTCAAAAACTTTGAGGCAGCGCACAGATGATTCTGTCCAGAAACACCAGACTTGTGCCATGTATAGCACTGTGACTTTGCTGTGAGATGATAATGATAGAAATGATAGAATTACATTGCAATTTTTGTCAACTTAGATTCAAATTCCTGAAGAAATCATTGTCCTCAATAGACCATTTACGAAAGCTTCAGCCGCCTGGCCTATCATTCAGCAGATTGTTGTGGTTCAAGGCATCCCAATGTTCTGCAATCCTTCACCACCTTGGAGACCGAAGGCGAAACGGGGATTGCAGGGTAATTTTCCCAATTCCAAGTACAGCTGCCGGTGGAAATATGATATCAAATCATACCAAATCATATCAAATCACACTAGAAATAATATCACTATCATAAGTTTTTCGTAATTCAGATCTTTCAGATCTTTCAGCTTTTGAGAACCATGAAACAATGAGATTTGACTCAATAGGTACTCGTACCCTCTGGTAAACTAACATAGCAATGGAAAACCCTCATTTTCTAATATTTTCTATAGGTAAATCATGGTAAATCATCGAAGTAAATGGGCCATGGACTTCCATAGATATCACCAGCGGCGGTCAGGCGGTTTCTACATTGTTACCGAGGAGGCGTGGATGATTTCAGGGGTCTGTTTAACCATAAAAGGGCACCATGGGGCACCCTGAAATCATCCAAGTTGTGGGTGATTTTGGGGAAAGCAATGGGCTGAAAAACTTTGAGCCATTTGGATAGCGATTTTGAGGACCCAGCGAATTATTAGGTGGGGTTAGCATGAGAAGCGCAATTCGAAAGCGTTTCAAGATGTTCAGGGTCAACAAAATGTGGTCATAGATGTCATACTGATTTCAGTCACCCGAAGGTGACCCCAATGATAGATCAATGATAGTTGGTGAATTAGTGGTTGTTGGTGGTTATTGGTAGCCCTTAATAAACCCATCAACACCTACGTTTTTGCGACGCAGGGTTCGCCCATCCAGGTCGTTCCATTGCCCTGTGCGAAACCTGCTGAGGGTACGCCCGTCAGGTGGTCGATGCGGGGAGAAACCATGGGTTTCACCCACATGGAAGGAGCATGTGACTCATCATCCATGTCAGAGTCTTGCAGCTAGATGCCATGAAAATTCACATAAAAATATCATATCATGAATTATTATGAATTCATATCTAGTATATATTCAATGCATGTGCTAAGTTCATCCGAGTCGTGCTTCCGAGGTTTAGATATTCCCCATAGCCCTAAGGCGATGAGCGCACGCCGGCGGTGTGGGGGTTGTATCAGGCTGGAGCACCCTTTTGCATTTTTGGCTTAGCCCGCTGAGCTTGGTTTTCAGTGGGAAACTCCATGAAATGGCATACTTGAACGGACTTCGACTCATTTGGTTGTTTTGTAACTGAACCTTCTAAACATGTTTCAACTTTTTTTCCAAGCATTTCAACCATTTCTCTTGCATGAGAAATTTGGTCCTCCAAACGCTTTTTGCAGGTGCTGGATGGACTGAGTTTCTTGCATTCCAGCGGCTTCACCCATGGCCTATTTGGGCCGTTGGCAGTCTTTGTCAACTCACAAGGAGACTACAGGCCTGGGCTAAAGGGATGGTCGATGCATCAAATCACCCGATTTCGGGTACCTGGTGTCCTGTGACGCTGGCATCAAATGAACAAACAGGGTGGGCCGGGACAAGTGACAAGGTGAAATGCTTTGCAGAAGGGATAGGACAGTAGAACCTCAGAAGTGCCATCCAGGCTCGGAAGTTTTGAGCTGTGCCAGAAGGGAATGGATACAGGTGGGATAGCTCAGAGCAGCTCAGCCCAGAGGCTCCATTGAACAAGTTTTCTGCAAAATTCTGGCCACAAAAATGGGTGAAGGATGGCGAAGGCACCAAATTTCGGTTTGGAACTGTCACCCCCATTGTTCCTGGCTAATCTGGATACATTAGCTAACCTTAACTAACCTTAACCGTCAAAGGCTCACGCACCCAACCACTTCTTCCAGTGCGAAAAACTGAGGCACCGCAATTGCCTCGCGGCGCCGGGTTGGGCCAACATTTTCAGGGTGCCGGGCTTGAAATTGCCATTTGGGTATTCCCATGTTCCACACCCAAATATCACATTGATGCCATTCATTACGTAGCCATTTTGTTTAGTTACAAGATGTAAAAAAAATGAAATTCCATTCAATCTCTATTTCTAATGGTAAAACCATGTAAAACCTCCATAATGTCATTTCACCATCACATTTTTTACTTTTTTATACGGAGGTGTCCTAAGTCATGGGGGTATCATCGAAGTCCTTAGATAACAAATTAGTATTGAAACCCATGGTGACTTGGGGATCCCCTCATGGAGGTGATTAAATGTGGAAAAATCAGGATATCACATTTTTGATATTTTTTAATCATGGATTATTGCATCCCATCAATTTCATAATCTATGATTAAACGTGATCACATCATCTATCACATCATTCGTTCCATACACGGTGGTTAAATAACGGAATAACTTGATCTATGATTAATGAATTATCCCATTCATCACATCAATGATTAGATATCCAAATTTATTTATATGGTAAATTATGGTAATATCTTCTTCACCATCTATGATAATGTCCCATCAATTTACACCATATCTGATAAATCCACATTCACTGCTTCACCTTGGCACTGTGAGGTGGCCAGAGCCTCCAGCAGCGTTGCAGGAGGGTGGCATCCCTTCCATAGGCACAAACGGGACAGGGTGTCTGAAACTGGCCAAGAATTTTGGTGGGAAATATGATGATTAAACATGATTAACAATCATTTTTTTCCCCCTTAAGACCTTAAGTGTTTAGTGTTCATTGTTAGAAGAAGGAGCAGGGAGGTTGGATTTGGCTTCTGGAGGAGACAGACTTTGCTCCTTATGAATGTGTGAGTCAAGGGTTGTAGGCCCTAGAGATCCCTAGAGCACTGAGCTGCTATTGCCCAGTGAGCCAGGCATTGACATGTGGGGTGCTGCAGTGCTAATAGCATATGCCCTTGGCTTAGCATTGGGCTGTTGCATGGAGCAGTTGCATAGAATTTGGAATTTACCAAGGCGTTTGTTGCACAGAGCCTGTCTGAATTATATGAACACATTAGCTTACGTTGGCAATTTATTGGCAATATGCCACGCATATATATATATATTACATAATCGATGCCATAACCTGCCTAGATGTCTTTCGCGCACTCAGGATTTAGGGCCCTGGAACCCACATATTTTGTCTAGGAGTGTGCTCAGAAACGGACGACAATTTTAAAGGAAACCATCATCAATCTATGCATGTTCAATACTTAACATGTGTTAAGATATGTTAAGATCATTATTCCAATTTCCTATATATTTTCCCGTAAACCCAATGAAGATAATGAAGTTCTTGGAAAAATCAGGTCTTCGCCTCGGCCAGTGCTGGATCCTACGGTATGGAGATGGAGTTTGACTTGGCCAGGGCGCAGAAGGCCGGCCCATTTTGTTGGGGGGTTGGGCCGGGGTTGGGATAATGATGATTAAGCCATGGATCGACTTCTGTCTCATGTGGGGATTTGAACCATGTTACAGTAACATGCTTCTTTCTTTGACTGGTTCTTGGGGGAGAGTTGTGGCATAGTTGAAGATGATGGGATGGGTTGGATGGATGATTGGATAGATGGAGTTGGTTTGGGATGGACTACATACAAACTGCGATGTCTTTTTTTTAAATGCATTTTCCATGCATAGCGTCAGCCCAATCGAAGGACATTCCTAGTGAGTTGCGAAAGTCCTTTCAAGAGCTTCAGAATCCAAAGCCGCTCAGAGGGCATGGGAGCCCAGTGGGATGTCACGCTGGGGCCGTCAGCGACTTGGGGGCTTGGGCCGACGACGAGTCGCCCACTCCGCAGCGCAAGGCGAAGTCCCATTGCAGAGACGATTGCCTTGCCCTTCTTCCAAAAGAATGCGGCGGTTGAGGCTGGCATTGTCAATTCTGATCCATAGGAAGTTTGGGGCTCTAAGTGACCTCGTGAATAAAAAACAGCGCAGTACTTTGGAAACAAAATGTGCTGCAAGTACAAACACTTCATGTGGTCTCAGCTGGATGGTGCTTTCCGCAGTGCCTGTTGCAGTCCAAGTAACATCCACTTATATCCACTTATCAGTATCGGTTAGTTATAGCTGGTTGATGGTTTCAAAATGTTTCAAACATCTTCTTTGAGAACCTATCTATCATGATCTGTCACGATCTATCATGATTGTCCTGATTTGGTTGAATAATATCATATCAGCTTTTTCTCCGGACGCATCGATTCAAACTTTCAGCCAGATTTTTTGTTGGTTGAAGTTCCCATTTTGTTTGTTGCTGAGCACCCCTGTGATATCTATAACTGTAGCACCCCCGATAAAGATAGAGAAGCAATTTACCACTGACTGAGTAGGATTTTACTTTTCCATTACTTTTCCATTGTTTTTGTGGGTTTTTCTTACCCATTTGTCAGCTTCGTTGAAGCCTTCGTGAGCTTCAGGTTTTTTCATTCCTGGCCAACTTGCAGCTGAAGTCCGGGATCGAGATCTGGATCCACCAGTGGATTCTGACCAGTCAGTTTTGCTATCGCTGCAGCATTTCACCATATTTAAACGCACATGAGCCGTTTTTTATAGGACAAAGACTCGGATTTAAACGTCACTAAACATCTATTGACCAACATTTCCTACCGCTCAACCAACGAGTTGCAATAGCTCCAACTCCTTCGGAACCTTCGTCCCAGGTCCCCTGAAGAGAAAGAGACCTGGTTCGAAGGACTCACGGGTAGCTTCAGCCGTTGTTTTGGGTGTCAGGGCACTTCATCAGCTTCACATGGCAAATCAAGTTTTGAATGATCATGTGAACATGCGCAGGGAGCTTACCAGCAATAATAGGGATACCGGGATACATTGTACTGTACCATCATTGCATATATATATATAAATAGCCAAGGCTGATGTGAACAAGACTGGGGGACTGCACAAGTTGTTCCATCTATTCTTTGGCACAAATTTCGTCGTTTTGGAAGTGTTGGCTGCCTCTTCGTTTCTTTTTATCGCTGGTAATGGGAAGTTCCAACTTTCAAGATGCTAAATCCCTCCAATAAGCCAATGAAAACTCCATAAGTCAAAATTATGACTCAATGAATCAATCAGAATCCATCAATGATATTTCAATGTATTTTTCAATATTTTTCAATGTATCTCAACTAATCTCAACGTATTTTTGTGATCTGATCATATCTGATCAACGTATCTATGGTAATCTTCATGTTCATCCTCGAGCTGGACAACTCCCTGGCCCGGCCAAAAAGGACTGCCACAGCTGCTGGAGGGTCTGTCGGCGGTCGTGAAGAAGCGCCAGGCGGCCCCCCATTCAGTCCTTATGAAGGTTTCTTTGAATGGGGGGTACCCCCAAATCATCCCAGTCATTAGACCATATTAGTACTGAAACTGACTGAAACCCATGGTTTTGGGGATCCCCCATTTCAGGAAACCCACATATATATAGACCAGATGCATTGAAATTATATAAGCCTTTTGCTCCACAATTACTCCATTCTTCATTGTCAGCAATTCTGCGCGATTTCCATGATGGAAGTGAGATGAAGTGATTCCTGCACCTTACTCTTCCAGCTTATGTTCCCAGTCATTGACCTGGCAAGGTCCTACCTGAGCTGCTCACAGCTCAGCGTTTTCCTGGACAGGAGGCACGGGACAGCATCCATTTCGGCCGTTTCGGCCGTTTCGGCCGGTTCGGTCCAAGCTGCTAAAGCCAGTGCTCATCAGGCAGCGCATTTGCTGCCATCCATCCTGAAGATTGGGGTCACACTGAAGGAAGAGGAGCAGAGAACTTAGTTCAAACTTGGCTCATCCAGAGGGTATTCCTGCAGCTACCACTATGCTTTCAACATTCGTCAACACAACTTAGGTTTCGAGAAAAGGTGGCACCATTGGTGGTGCCTCTTCTCGCATTTCTGCTTGGGATGGGTGGTGCAGCCACTAACCAGATGGCCAGAACCCCATAGCTTGGTGCTTGGTGGCCACTATCCTCGTTTTTGGTTGATCACAACACCATCTTATCACATCTTATCTATAGTGATTGCCATTCGCAATTCTGAGATTTCAACCAGCCAGGAGAATGTCCATATTCCAAGACTTGATTTGTTGAGGCTTCAACCAACAGGCCAACAGTCTGCAGGAACTCACCCATGAAAAAAATGATGGTACAGTAGATACCATGTTTTCCTGTAGATTTTCCCTTAAACCACATCAGTGATCTTACTATATCCCAATTGTATCCCAATTGTATCCCAATTACATTCCATTAAATCAATTAAATCCATTAAATCCCACTGAGTCCCATAACATCCCACTGTATCTCATTGCACATCTCCTCTATCCTCATGATATTCCTCCATTGCATCAGCTTCACCTGGGATCACCTGGGCCAGGTGAAGCTCTTTGCATCTCCGGATCGAGCCGTGCGCTTCCGCCTGCCTGGAGCATAGAACCACATCTCTGGAAAAACGATGGGAAAATGACGATGCAGCACGGCATACCATGGCAACCAGGGTCGGGGTACTCTATTTTCAAACCCAGAATCTGGGTTGAGCATGGTTGAGCTGCTTAGGGTTGTTGGTGATTCCTTTGCTGCAGATTTCATTTCTGAAAATCTCGGGCCTGGAGGCTGACGTCCTTAGGAGACATGATCGAATTCCTAGCCCACGACTCAGATCATGTTTCTGCCTCGATCTTGAGGCGCCCTAAATGGCAGTTGACCTATGTGATTTTGCACGTTGATTTATTCAGGATGATGCCATGCTCAATGACAAGATCTTCCCGGAATGTGTCTCCCACCTCAGTTGCGCAGCCATGCGCAGCCCCTTCGAGCTTTGTTTGAGAATAGGGTACCCCCCAATCCCGGGATCTATCATCATTTTCATTCATTTTCATTCATTTTCCCATATTTTTCATTATTTTTCCCTATGAAAGTGCCACAAGTTGTGGTTGGATCCCCCATGATTTTTAGGACCGATTTTTTTCGTCGTGGCCTTCTCGACTTCCGCATGAGGTGAATGGCTTCACGGACTCCAATGCACCGATCCGGGAGGCCACTGTGAAGTGAGGGCCTCTCAGTCGATTTCAGCACCCGGCTGTGGTCAGGCTGAGATAGGACCGTTCTTGGGACCTGCGAAAAAGCTAGACCTATGATAGACCTATGATACTATCGGCCAACATACCATAACATACCGATCTATCAGAATTTCATAGAATTTCTGTCTCCTGGGATGTCTTGGCCTGGGGTTTGAGGTCCATGATCTTCTTCGTGTCCCGCTTGAAACCAAAGATTGTTGAGAGTCGAGTGCTGAAGCTTCTCATCAAAATGATGCAGGACATCTATTTCTGTGGTTTCAGCAGTTTGTCTTACCCTCTGGTAAACAGCCACATAACTATGGAAAGATCCACCATTTTCAATGGCTAAATCCACTATAAATGGCCATTTTCAATAGCTATTTTGACATAACCAGAGGCTATTTCAGTGAGATCTCAACAGCTGCGGCTTCCAGTGGCAGGATCCAGAGGCCTCGATCCGAACCAATGCCTTGATTTGCGTGGGCCGTGTGTCTACACAATTGCCCTTTGGATGATTTGGATGGCACCGGCACTGGCTTTGCAAAGAGTTGGTGGGCTGTTTTATGATGTTTTTTGTCATTGCTTTCTATTTATAATTTTCTATTACCCTGGAGAAGCGAGAAAACACACGTCTGGGGCCTTTTTTTGTTTCTCATCAGTGCCGTTTTGCAGCGTCTTGCTGATTTGCACTTGAGTCAGAGAACTCAACGCCCCAAAGAGAGCATACCCTCTGGTAATTTAACATAGCTATTGAAAATGGCCATTTATAGTGGATTTTCCCATTGAAAATGGTGATTTTCTATAGTTATGTTAGTTTACCAGAGGGTAGTTCATGAGGATTGATCATGACAGGCTGACAGGACCCAGCCAGGTCTCCCCAAAATCTGGCATACTGCGGCAGCGCTACTCATTGAAATCATGCATTATAATTCAATACCCCCCAAAACAAAGCAGATGTTGACACTTTTGGAATCTTTTGGAGTAGACTCTGGTTGACTTTACGACTATGACGGATTCTATTTGTTAAGCTGTGAAGCTTTCAGGCCAAAAGCCTCGATCACTCCAACCTTGATGACTGTCATCGGCATGGGCTTGAAGGATCCCTTCAGCCCATGTAGATGTGCTGCCTTGCAGACGTCGGAAGCTGAGAATGGCCATGGCCTGCCCATGGTTTGGTTCCAACATGTTCCAACATGCGTGCGAAAGCGAACAGAAAACTGGATACGGGCCAGAGTGCGAAAGCACTGTGAGAATTTTCTTTTTTTCTCCTGTGCCCACATTGTGCATCATGCCATCTTCAACTTTGTACTGACTTGAAACTGTTGCTATCTGTTGCTCAGGCTTTCTGCAACTTCCAACAGTTTCAGTGCTGAGGACCATTTCCAGGGCTGGCATGGGCTGGCATGGGCTGGTGGGCTGGCATGGGCTGGCATTGACAGTGACATATGCCACAGTAGCGCCATCTTGGATCAGAAAATTTGCACGTTGAACGCTAAAGGGCTTCGGACTAGCGGATTGGCACTGAGCTTGTGACAGATGGTTCTCAGCAGTTGATGTTGGCCCTCAAAAAAGCGGAGCGGATTCGACAAGTGTGAATGATAAGATATGACAAGATATGACAAGATGATAAGTGCAATATATTTCTCCCCCACAATGTGGTGTTTTTTGAAGTTTCAAGGACCTCGCAGGCAAGCTTCTACCCGGAGTTTGTCATCGCTTGATTGATCCAGATCCAGCCACTTGACTTTTGCTGATATTACCGTTGAAGGTGACCTCAGAGATGAGCAGAAATATGGGAAAATATTGGACTATACATTATAGTAATATATATATATATATTATATACACACACATGTGTGTGTGTCTAAAAATGGGGTATGCCTGCTTCCAAAATAGTCATGTTAATTGCGACAATTGTGATTAGCCAATGGATTTAGGGGGACCCTATTTCCTGACCCATATCGAGACATGGTTGGAAAAAGGGATGCGGAGCCAGCGTAAATGGTTTTTAACCAATAATGGATAGTGGATGATTATGGTTAATCCATAATGATTATGGTTATGCCCTTAATTATGGTTTAACCAAAAACGGTTTTAACCATTTAATCAGCTTTATGGATTTGCAACGGAAAAGCTGGCCGTTTATAAACTAGTCTCTTGACTGATGTCACCATCATGTCACCAGCGACCCGGCATGTCAAGGCTGTGGGAGATATGGCATTCACCACTCTCGGCAAGCTGCAGGAGATCGTAAGGCTGGCACAGCTGGCCATCAGGTTTGTAGACATGTAATGATATATCTAGCGGATTCATTAGCAGTTTTTTTTTGAACTAGCCATTTCTGCATTGAGCTTTTCTGATTTCAGGCACCATGCTGACCTTGGCACAATTAATTGCTCCGACTTCGTTCACGATGCTGTACATGCAACCTCGTTCTGGAATCAGGTTCAATGAACTCGAGTGTACAACTCAAGGTGAGCTTTATGAACGCACAGCATGTGTGGTACCAACATTGCCAAACAAAACTTTGCGCATGTGAACACTTACACACCTTTTTTTCATTGGTAGTTTATGGTAGTTGGTTGTGTTTGACAGAAGATGCACTTTGTTTCAATGTGCAACTACATAAAGAGATTAAGTACTTGGATGCGCATCCCAATTGGTATGTGGTTAGAGCACATCTAAATGCAAAAACCTCTAAATATCAGATTCCACGAAGAAAGCCTGGTTGGGTACTGGTTCTATTCAGCTAGCTCAGCTAAACATATTCAATCATATTTACACATATTTACATGATTCACCATTTTCGGCCATGGCTGCAGTCTCTCTGGACTCCGCCAGGCAGAAGGTCATTGAGCGACGTCAGGCTTCAACTGAGGTCGGACACGCTCAATGAATGGCACTTTTCACGCCATAGATGGCCTGTTGTAAAATGACCATAACATGACCATAAAATGACCATAAAATGACCATAAAATGACCATAAAATGACCATAAAATGACCATAAGTATCTTTCAGGTCATGTCAGAGTTATTCATAGATGGTTTGAACATGTTTGAACATATTATCCCAACTATAGATTCAAAGCGATACCTGGTTGGGTTTGTTTGTCTATCAGTCTATCCTATGGAGGAGCCCCAAGAATATGTTTGACCATGAGGATCAACCGATGGCCCATGACTTGGGAGGTCTCCACAGAGATGCCCAAGGCCTGTCTTTTGGGGGCACTCTATGGCACTCTCATTTTGGGAAACATGCTCACGCACTTACTTTGGAAGTGGGTGCTGGTTTGATACTCAAGCGGCTAGAAGTACAGCTTCTTGAGCTTTGGTAATCGTACTATTAGTTGATCAACATGTAATCGGCATGCGAGGTACAGGAGGAGACCTCCAGCTGGGCACAAGGAGGCACCGGGCCGGAATTCAGTTGGGTTTGCCCAAGACTGGGGTATTTTCATACCTCGCCATGGCCACTTTAATGGGAAACATGATGATTAGCAATGATTAGCCATTACCATAAGATTTGGGATTCTTCAGACAACTCCACTTGTAGAAGTTGTTTCATCTATGCTTCTAATCATTGGACACGTGGTTGAGCGATTCGTGTTTCTCTTCTAGTTGGCTGTCCCAATGCTTGACATGCTGCAGGCAGCTTCTACAATCCTCTTTCTGCAGGAATGGACTTTGGCTTCAAGGTCTTTGGCTTGGCTCAACTTGAACAACATCAACAGGAAGCCACAGGAAGGACATCAGAAATCAGACATCCGAAATCCATGGGATGTAAACCGAATGTCAACCCACCATGAAACATCCATTACTTGGCGGGGTAGCCTCCACCATGGTCACCGAGGTCCGGCAAAAGTTTATGGGCCAAGGCCTCAGCCGAACTTTTGAGGTTGGTGAATTATTGTGTATCCAGATGAAGTCTTTTGGATGATCCGACTCCCTTTTGCTACTGGAGTTTTTTTTGGTTGCATTTCGACATGGATGAAAAGGGCCCTGCAGGCGAGTTGTAGCGTTTCCGCTTCAGTTTCACCAAGGTGTGGCAGGTTCCATGAACCAAGGATCCGCACCAAGCCCGCCTGAAACTCGGGACGTTGGTCACCGTTGGTCCTGTGAAGCGGCCGCATCAGTGGTTCTCCTCTCCCTGGTGGCTCTGCCTCAGGTCGCCTGGAGCTTTAGTCTCCGAGGCGTCTGTGGATAGCGGAGGCACTAAGTGCGCTGGGGGGGCTGCGTGATTGATGACTACTAGTAGAAGATCTAAGATCTAGTAAAGGTTTGGTAACATCTAGTAACCCTGAATATTATATACATATAATATTACAACATATTATATATAATATTACTGTATATATATAAGTTATGTATGTATGGTTAGTTAGCTAACTCTGATGCGACCTGGCTGCCACAGGTGCCGCTCCATGCGCTCCAAACCCTCCAGGTGCCGTTTCTAAGTTTCAAGCCGGGATGAGTTGGATTTCTCGCGGATGGATTTTCCGATGGATTTTCGGATGGATTTTCCACATGTACCGAAGGATCATTGTGACATTATTGTGACTCTGAGATTTGCCAGGTCCTCCAAAGACTGGAATGCGTTTGGAATCTTCCAGCGCTCCTTGGCCCCATTTAGATCATTGAGCGACTCCGTTTGGAGCCAAGTGAAGCTTTCGACTTTGATGTGCTGCTTCCCAGGCAAAGGGCAAAGACACCAAAGCAGCAGGTCATCCAGATGGGTGACACAGACACATGAGCGGCACGAAACTCTTGGTGCTTCCATGTTCCTTGGTGTTTTTCTCTATCCTTCTATATTCCTTCTATCCTCCACAACAGTTATCCAAGAGATTCTCCGATTTGCATCCATTTAAAATTCCATTCGCTGGGTTTTCACGAGAGGGTTCCAAATCCACAGTGCGATTGCATTCTGAGATCTCTGGAGGCCGAAATGACGCTGTGAATTGAAAGCCCTTCTCCTGCCGTGCCGTTGAATCACAACTCGCTGGGCAGGAAGTGGCAGCGCGTTGGATCTTGGAATGGATTTGGACGAGCCAGGCATGGAGCCAAGATTGGTGGGAAAAATCTACAGGAAACCATAGGAATTCAAAGGAAACCATAGGAAACCATGTTCAAATGGTGGATGTGGATGCCAAACTGTTGACTGTTCTCGTGCCAAGGTGGCGGTTGGGCCGATGATGATATCTGTGGAGCTGACTTGGGAAACAAAGCGTTTCTTGGAGGATCATATATTATTTTTGTTGCTGGGATTTTGAAACGCCTCAGACGCTTTTTGTGACACTATCACCATAGGATTCCAAAAATTCCAAAAACCATAAACATGGCAGAACAAGCTTTATCAAGACCGATCTCGTTTCAGATTTTGAAAACTGGATAAACTTTATCACAAACATGCGAACATGTGTGACAGGATGTGACAGGGAACTGGATGATATTGGATGAGCCAAAATGGGTTTCTCTGAAATGGCATATATGAAATATCCCCGAATAGTAGTGTTAAACCACTGTATATCATGCGGAAGATATCGGAAGATTGTCATATATTATCAGCAGCCAAGTATTGTCATCTATTATCACCAACCAATTATTAGAACTATAATCTATCATCGTTTCAACACATTATCATCAACCATGCAATTGTGGGGATACATCGTTTTTGGAGAAACCGGCCCAGGTTGGATGCACCAGTTGTTCAAGATGCCTCGGACTTCGGGGACGACTTCTTCAATGAGTTTGACACGTTCAAAGCTTAGGACAGTGAGGACATGGAAACAAGCTGCCATGGAAGGGAACCGGATCCGGCTGGCCGAGTTATGGTGCTTGTTATGGTGGTTTTTCCAAGTGTTTTGTTATGGTGGATTGGCAAATTGGGAATAACCACCATAACACTGGGAAGATTCGATGTTTGTTATGGTGTTTTTTTCCCCAGTGTTTTGATCTGCATCCAGGCAACCAAGCACCATGGCAGCAATGAGACGTTGGGTGGACGATTTTTGGGACAGAACCTCATAAGAACGTGGCTTTCCATGGAAGGGTTGCTCGAAAAATGGATGCACCCAAAATCATTGAGTTTTTGCGAAACCCCATGGTTACAATGGTTGAGGTTCCGCGCATTTTTCGGCATTTTGGATCCTTGTAACGTGGCACAACAATCGATGGGGGTTCCCAAGGTGAGGCAGTTCCGACTCCGAAGGTGGGCCCGGAAAAGCAGTGCTTTTGGTTAATTATGACAGGTCAATTCTATTCAATTGTTTTGTCCCAAGTTCCCAAGACTGGACGCTTATCATCTAAAAAACCATGAATTATATAATATACACACATATTATATATATATCATATATATATCATATATATCCATGTATTTATATATATATATAGTATATTTATGGTATACAGATATAATGATACATTCTCCAATGATTATCAGCTGGCATTGTGAATGGCCATGGATCCGATCTCCGAGAGGCAGCGCCTGCACCCAGCCGGCCGGCGCCAACGGCGCCCACGGCGCCAGTACCAAAGGCTGAGCTACGAAAAACACGTCAATGTAGATGTAGATGGCTGTGGATGTAGAGATATAGCATGATATAGCATGATATAGCTGTAGGTGTTGATGATGATGTTGATGTTGATGTTGTTGATGTTGATGTTGTTGATGATGATGAGGATGATGATGATGATGAAGATGACGAGGACGATGATGATGATGATCATGACGACACTAACACTATTCTTGACATCCAATGTGAAACCTGGAAAGCTCGGCTTTAACGTGCTGCGCCGTTGTAGCGTTATAGGCTGTACAGCAGAAAGCAGCTCCCAAGGTGCATTTGCTGATCCTGATGGGTACGATCTACATCGATCATCATCGATCTACCTTTAGAGAATGTCTTAAATAATGATGATACAGATTCTGATCAGAAAGTTGATCATCATTTTGATCACTCCGGGCATAAAGTATTAAGTGAAATAAGCTAATAGCGGATATCACATCGCCATGTGAGTAAAAAGGGCATGAAGATGGGCCATCCGATGGGTACCAATTTTTGACTCGTGCCCGGATTTCAATTTCACCATACTGTAGTGGTTTTCACCCTGTGGATATGGAATATGGTGGCATTATATTATTATAACAACTCATTTTTCATTGCCAATGCGCACAGTTTTGGCAAGGTGAAACTTGAACAATACGAAAGACAGACACTTCAAGACTCATTTCGATCTGTCTGGTGGGCAAATCAATGCGTACCTCATTTGCAATTTGTGCGCCTTAAAACATGTGAAATCAGAGTGTTGAAGTTGAGTTAAACCCAGCGGTGTAGCCGAGCAACCTCAATGGCTATATATCAAGCAACACATTATGTTGCTGCTCATAAATCCAATGACATACTGTATATATATATATAACATTTAATATTACTGTATGTTACATACAATATCCTCTACTTTTCTATTTGACCGCACGGGCGTTCAATTTGGAAGGCCAAGAGTGAGTCTGCGAAGCTGGTTTTGGCCTTGGAAATTCAAATGTCTATCAAAAACCCAATGACCTAGTATATTAGATTGGGTTATCTGAGAATGGGGTATAATTTATAAACCCCAAAGTGGCAATTTTCATCGGTGGATCTGGGGGCATACATCATTTTACGACACACCGGCATCCGTTGCTTTCACTAGAAGCTTGTGAGTCAATGGACGGCCTCGTTTGAGGACATTGACGATGACTTCTGGAAAGAGTTTGACATGTGAGCAGAGCATAGCAGAGCTTGTGTAGCAATATTTCAGCCACTCTGCGCTACTATGGCAGTAGCAGACATGATACCTCCCAGTGAATCTTTTCGTTGTGGTCATCCGTGGTCCTTATTGCAAGAGGGTTGATCTTGTAGATGTGAACAGCATTCCTGAGAAAGACCCATATGGGTTTGTCCGAAAATGAGGTACAGTGCCGTAAAATCCAATGGTGCATCATAATTGCCATTTAGGTGTATGCCCCATTTTCAGACACCCACGAAGAACTTGGCAGACAGACGTCACTTGTCCTATCAAAGGACAAGGGGTGGACAGGAGTGTGAGAAGCACCATGACAGAGTGTTTCCTGCTGAGACGCTAAACTGCAGTTGGTGGCGTTGCGGGAGAAAACTGCCTTGCTTCAGATCATCATCATCATCATCATCATCATCATCAGCATCACCACCACCACCACCACCACCACCACCACCAGCAGCACCACCAGCACCACCAGCACCAGCACCATCACCAGCACCAGCACCATCACCATCACCATCACCATCACCATCACCATCACCATCACCACACACGCAAATCGGCAAATGGCACACCCCCTCCTTTATTTCACCATTGTCTGTGCGTCAGTTGTTGTATTCCCTCAGCTATAGTTTCGATCCGCCACAGTCGACAGCAGTTCAGTTGACTTCACCAAGAATCATCATGACCCTTCCTTTTCGCCGCTTGTTGGGTCAGACAGAGCGACAACATACACTGCCGACAATAGTCAAGAATCAGCGAAGTGTGGTGTAGCGTATCAGCATCATATCAGCATATCACTGCCAGAAGAAGTCATCAATCTATTCACCTTTGTCAGCCAAATGGACACTTGAGCCGTATTGGAAGGCAGCAGCAAGAATGAACCAGTTGCAAGAGCTTGAAACCAGAAGCGGCGATCCAAAAACGGCCTGGAGAAGCTAGCCGTCAAACACAGGCAAATGGGCGGGAAGTCTAGTTGTGAAGTGTTGATGTTGGAGGATTTCTGAAGCTAGTGCCTGTGCACAGAGAAATTGGATGTTTATTGGACACGATGATATTCTGACTTTGGCTCGGACAGACAGTATCTTGACTGTACCAAAGATGCGGTTTGAAAACAGCCCCTCTTTATGCCTCTCCTCTATGTCTTTCATAGCAGGACTGTACTCTCATGTTCATTCATGTATTTTCGGGGTGAAATGATATGGAATCTTCAAGTACCCATCTATCCAGTCTTTTGTTCTGTTGAATGGAAACTTCAGGGAGTGGGAACCGTTTTGGCTCGAACATTTTGTCGTTGCTGAGGCTTTTCCAATGCTTCCGGAAAAGCAGGCCTGCAGGAAGTGATTTTTCCAACAATCAAAACGGATACAAAACACATGTCTATACCGTCTATACCTTTCAAGTCTGCGAAGCGAGTCCAAGTTTGCGCAACCGATATCACTGGATTGTCTTGTGGCAATATCTCTGGTGCCGGCTCCAAATCGTTCTAGTATTGGCAATCGATATAGTTTCTTTAAATAGAACACATTCCAACTTTTACGCGCGGAAAGCATGATTGCTTCATGATTCAGCTCCATTGTGGCCACTGCTTTTTTCTCTCCGCGGCCAGTTTTTTAGACTAGTTCGGCCCCGCAAGAGCTCGGGTTTGGGCTGCGATCCGCATGGGCCAACGACCCAGCTGCTGCCACGATGATGAAGTCCAAGAAGTTCCGAAAGTTGAAGTAGTTCATCATGTTCATCACCGCCAGGAGTTTGAAACCAACAGCTGGAAAACGTGCCTTCCAATTGACCGGATTGCTGACACTTCGCAGAATGCTGAGCTTGAGATACAGAATGAGAAGGGTGCAACAACAACTTCTTCTAGCCTCAGTTTGGCTCAGTGTCGGCTTCAAAAAATGGATCACCTTGTGGTTGATCGGGACATTCTTCGAGGAATTTCGCTTCGGGAGTCCTTTCCTTAGTTGACAGCGACATGCAACACACGAAGTCACAAAGTCAAGAATTTGCTTGAATGGAAACATCTGAATTACATTCAGCACAGATTGTCAGCTAGATCAATGAGTCATTTCCGGAACGCTTGGGAAAGGTCTTCCGACCGCCCCATGATATGACTTTTTGGATGGCTCACCGGGCCCCCGCGTTAGGACTTTGAACAATGCTGGAGACCTGTGGCGACAGTCGCCCATCGATTTGAATGACAGCGAAAGGAGAAAGCTTTGGACCAGGCGGATCAGAATCACACTCATGGCCAACCTCACTGGGTCCTTTATAGATGATGGTTTGGGAAAGCTCTTATTTACATTTATTTAATATTTTGACTTTTAGATGGCCGTTTTTGTCAGGCATCAGGTCTATGTTTTCTTTTTAAACATACATTATAATATGTATGTATGTATATATATATATTAAATGTACAGAATGCTAGGACCTGTGGCATTGTTTTTTAAAACTTATTAGCTTGGATGAAATTCACGAATCACTCGGTTGCAAACTGATAATTATGGTCGCTGTATGGCCTCTATTTTCTTGACTTCAAATGGGAGCAAACAACTGGTTCCTCTAGCAAAAAAAACCGGCTTTAGGGTTTCGGAATGAGATTTGTTGAGAGAAGCCTAAGATGTTGACATCTCCATGGCTCATTTTTGGATGAATTCCCAAGATGTGTCCCTCCCCATCCCCTTTGGAGGTCCAGAAAGGTTGAAGACTTCGACTGGTTCCTTTCGCACACTTGGCTAACCCCTGGGCGTTGGAAAGTCCTTTCTTTGGTGGTGCAATCCTGCTGGCATCTCTGGTTGGCTTCATGGCACCTTGGAGGAATCCCAACGTTTGCATGGGGATATTCCATGGGGGTTTCCTGGAATGGGGGTACCCCAATAGCTGGTTTAGGCCCTAAAATGGATGATTTGGATTGATTTGGGGGGGGTACCCCTATTTTAGGAAACCTCCATATATCTCCGACAATGTTTGCAACTTATACCAGTTGCAGTACGAATTGAACAACGCCTGCCTGTGTGATTAATCTGAAACACACCGGTGCATGAAGAAGTGCGAGTCTGGCCCATTTTATTCTGGTGCTATTGAAGCATATTGAAGCATATTTCGGCTAATTACCACCATTTGCCATAGAGATGTTGTTATTGTTAGTTGTCATCATTCTTAGCACTATTATTGCTGTTGTTACTATTGATTTATCATCATTCTTATAATTACTATTTGTCATTATTGTCACCTATTATGGTTATTATTCACTGCCAGTAGTAAGTATTCATCATCAGTATTTGTAATTATAGTTAGTTATATCATTATTGCTATTATTAAGCATCCATTTTGTAGATGGGATATTTGCTTCTCAATTCCGGTAGCAACCACGACCAAGGCTGATCCTGGTGACACTTGCAATGGTGCTGTGTGTCCATGGTTTCCTCCCCATGGGCGGCACCTGGCATCCAGATATCATGGGCTTTTCAGCCCCATCCCCTTTGGGGGGCTGGGTGATTCTGGCCAGTTGCCTTGCTCCTTTCATGGGGATTGCCATTTATCTTTGCTTGCCAGAGTCATGTACTACATCTCCTACCTGCTTCTTGGATGTTGTGAGCATCCATCAGACAGATACAGAATTAATGGAACGTGGCATCTATGGATTGGGAGGCTTCCTCAAAGTATCGAAGCAATTGCGAGCCTTGCTCTTGACAGTTTCCAGATATTTTGCAATCTTGTTCCTATGAACTGCTTTCACTTCGTGTAGCCAAGAGGGTTCCACGTGTTGGAGCAGATGATGCAAGAGTGTACGTGAGCCACGTTGAAAACGTCGAAATCACGAGGTTTAGGTCAAAGTGGGATGGCGGAACACATGTTGCATTTTACATTGGAAACGAAGCCATAAAACAAAAAACAAAGCCTCTTTCTCCGAAGATAGATTTGTCCTACTGCTTCGTCACGGCTTCGTCCTTTTCTCGTTGCATTCTTGTCCTTACCTTTTGTTTTTTCGTTTTCTTTCCACCCTCATCCTTCCTTTCTTCCTTTCAATCCCAATTCTTTTCTTCTCTTTTTGTTTTCCCTGTTTTCTTTTGAATATGTTTCTGTTGGTGATCCTCAACAAGAACAAAGCGAAGACCATGACCTTTTCCTCCCTTCCTGTCCCTCTCTTCTTTCCTCTTCCGTTGCTCTTCCTCTCCTCTTCCTTTTTACACAGATCCTGACATGTCAGCTGGGGGCCAGAAAACGAAGTTGGAAGACCAAAACTGAAGCCGCTCCCACTATCCACTAGCCCACCAAATCGCATGAGAGTTTTCAGAATTGCTCACATGTATGTTGGACTTGATTCAAGAATAACATGCAAAACTCATAGGGCCTGATAGGGAATAGAGGAATAGAATAGATGTCCCAGGCAAAAAACTCCTGCAGATACATGCAGGTTTTTTTTGTGATGAACTTTCTTTGTTTAGCGCCCACGCATTCTGATTGAGCACGCTGAGACACGTTGGTGTTTTACTGTTGGCCCAAATGGCAGAGACGATTACCTCAGACAAATTCGCTTTCGACTTCCATCAGGCAGAACAGTGGTCAGGGATCTTTGACGTGGCAGTGCTATCAGGGAGACAACATAGTTATTAGGTCCGCATTAGCTCTCAATGGTTCGTATTGTTCTCAGCAACAACAACACCTTTCCAAACAAAGTTGCCTGAAGCTTCACAGCTTTGTGTACGCAGTATCCGATGCAGTTGCACATATATTCAAAGGATACTACTGGTATTCGTATGTTTGCATCTCTCACTTTGAGTCGGGTTCTGTCTGGTCATTCAGAAGGAGTGTAGTGCACCTGTTCATTCTTTTTCCCTTTTTGTTGTTCAGCCGCACAAACTCAACACGTGCTTGGCAAGGAATTTTGTGGAGTCCGCCCTACTTGACAAGGCTTTGGTGCGTGCCTTTGTCTGAAAATGGGGTCCCCCAGAATTTGATGGTCGAGATTTTCCGCATTAATATGGCCATGTTGAGCCATTTTCAGACACTCATGTTGCTGCTTCTGGAGCTGATTTTTGCTCGCGATAGCGACTTGTGCTTGTTTGCTAATTTATGCTGTTAATTGCTGTTTAAAAAAAGGTAAAGGCCTGAACCTGAACAATCACTTTTAATATGTGCAATATCGCACTCAGCAATTCTGATTCAGGTACTCTACTGTAATCTTTTTGCAAAATCTTTCTCATGATCAATGTTTGCGAACCCACGAACAAGCACAACCCAGTGCAGCCAAACAACCACAATGGCAAGCCGTTCTGCTCGTTGTTTTTTTTTTTTTCCGAGGTATTTGAAGTGGCCGCCTTTCTCACGGCAAATCCAGAAGGCAAAATCATTCTCCATCCGCTCACAATTGAAATTGCTGTCACCGCATTATTCGTGGCATGTGCTTTGGGGACCATGTTTTACCAGGCTTTCATTACTGCTGTTGGTGCCGATCCTGGGGCTCGCAGTCTGGTTCTGATTCCAGCGTTGCTTCCGTCCCTGGGGGCCATTCGCATTTTGCGGCGGCAGTCCTTTATGCGACGAGTGCTTCTGACTCAGCTTCGGAATTTCGATGTTGACCGGGCAGAATGCCGCAACGACTTTGACAGGCACTACATAGAGGCAGGCAAAAAAAGAGTCAGAAAAAACGTCACGAATGCAAAGGCAGTCTTTGCCCTTTGACACATTCTAGTTGATTTGTTCAAATAATTGAATATATATTGAAATACATTGAAACATATCATGTATTGAAATAGTTAATATATATATATATATTATATATTCATCGAAATATATTATAATATAATATTGAACTCTATTATATAAACTATACTGACATACTTGTATCAAATATAATTCTATTGAAATGTTGAAACTATGATCTCCAAAAGACATTCGTTTTTGATGTTTGAGGCAGCGATTCTTCATTGGTATGGCAGCAAGGAAAAATTCGCCGCATACGTCCGCGGACCTTTGGCCTTTGAACTTCTCACTCGATTGTCAAACAATCATGTGATGATGGCGGGCTATGTTCTCATCGTCCTCAGCGCCCCTGTTGCGGCAGGCTTGGAATTGTGTATGTCACTGTGGATAGGTGGTGCACCATGGGAAGTTTTACTTGCGAGATTCATTGGAATGGTGGTTGGCACTGAATTTCTCTTTTGTGCCATGATATTGATGGTGGCCATGAATCTTTCCGATCTCTTGGCCAAACCTTGCTGTGGCTTTGTGTTGCCAGCTGCACTTCAGACGATTTTGATTTGGTTTACCTTTGCCGGCATGTATGCAGCCGGAAATGCCCTCGGAACGGCAGCAAGTTCAGCCACGTTGTGGATTTCCATTCTTTACGCGCTGGGATGCTTTTGCGGAGTCTACACCATTCGAGCAATCACCAAATGGACGCTGCTCAACAATGAGCGTGTCTACGGCGACGGTTTCTACGACGGATGACCCCACGGCTTTTTATAGCGTGGCAACGAAAGCTGTGGAAGCTGTGGGATTTTCAAACTTATGAACATTAATGAACAACGCCCTAAAAGGGCGTCCAGCCAATGAGTCTCAAAGATGTTCTTTGGCGCATGCAGCGCATGCTACTCCACCGTACTCACTTCTTGGCGTCTCACACCATGAAAATGGAGCAGGGGCAACCGAAGGGGAGCAGTAAATGACATCCGAATGAGTTGAATGTGATCATGTTGCCCTAATATATGTTCTTAATGTATGTTGGCACCCACTGACTCTCCGTATTCATCGGTATCCATGAGTCGACGACCAGGAGCCTTCCCTGTGCCAACACTCCCCACCTGCACACCATGTCAACATCCCTATAGTCAAGCCCGATTGATCACCCCCCAAGGCTGTTTTATTGAGGGGTAAAATGATTTCAATTTCAGTAGCACGTCAACCGGGGTTTATAGATCCCGGGAAATGGGCAAAGAATCATGTCGAAGTCAAGGGAGAGTTTTTGTTTCCCCCCATGCGAACCACGACAGCGGAAACAGCCACAGAACAACCACAGAAATAAACCCTCTGTTGGTCGATTCAGAGGGATTTTCCTTTGCTCCAATGCTTGCACTTTGGAAACAAGGCACTTTGGAAACAAGACACAAGATTCTTATGGACAACATTGCTCACTTCAAGAGATTTTATAGATGATCAATAATGACTGCAGATGATTGGTTACGGACGCATGAGCTAGACAAATTTGGACCGACTTGTCCTTTTCTCTCACACAAGACTTAGTACTTAGAGTCGGAACAACATTTGATCAACAGAAATCAATCAAGCTGTCCAGACCATCATTCTGAATCTACAGTTTTGCGCATCCGCACCGTCAGCTTTCCGCATTGCGATTGAGGCAGCTTCGCCAGCGTCGCCACAGGACCGTGGAGGTTTTCTTGTTCTGCTGATGAAATGAGAGAGATCAATGACCTGTGGGTATGTTCAAAAACTGGGCTAAAAAAATGGCTGCCTCAATTTGATGTTTTTGTCTATTTTTGGTTTGTTTATGCCTCAATTATGGCATGGTTTTTGTTGCCCCCAATGGAACGGACCTGGCTTTAAAAATTGGGGATTCAGACCTCCAGCATTCAGGAGTTCTCCATTGCCCACGATGATGACGACGAGGTACCCCCGTCTGCTAGCAGCCACTGGGCAGCGATGGTGAAATGGGGCACCATGCAGCCTGAGCCCAGCCGGGCAAGCTGCCCATGGACAAACTGCTTTGCACAGGCATTCTGAAGTGGATATACATGGTGATGATGCTTTGGAGGGTGGTATTCTAGAAGGATGATAAGAATGCCTAGCTATTTGTAAAGAGATGCTTGCATTGTTTGGATATCAATGTCACGCCACTGTCTTCAATTTGTTTGTTGCTAAGCCTTGCTCAGAAATCCAAGAAAGAGCACATTTATGCGGCAGTGCCGCAAGGATTTTCAGAGTTTGGAATTTCAATACCGAGATATACAGAGTAGCATTGTAAGCTGAACGATCTGTCTTTGGCGTCGAAGTTCAACTGTTGAGGTCAATACTGTACTGCCAGCGGATGATCCGAACCCCCTGGGATGCGTACCATTGGGCGTACCATGTTTGTAGTGGACGAACTCACTATTTCTGAGGGTTACCTCCCAGGGTAGACAGTCTCATCCGTTGGTGATCCACCATGATCCACGCTTCGCCTTGTCCTTGCTGAGGGGTGTGCAAAACCTTCACTACCGATAGGGGACGAGCCTATACTGATACCCTTGTTTTTTGCCATGATTGGCCTCAAAGTCTGAGAACGCAGAAATCCTCACTACCGATAGGGGACGACCCAAATTTGCGCATGGCATGAACATGTACAAGTAATGTTGTCCGCTATTCAAATATCAAATCCCACAACATATCCATTCACAGTTTAAATTTCTGATGGACATCTTCTAACTGTGATCTTCAACTCAGGCGAATCTGCCCCTTCAATCCCTTTGGCAGAAGCAGACACAAGGCAGACGGCAGGTTTGGGGCAAGCTTGGAGCAGAGTACAACCAGTGTGATAGTCTTCAAACTACACCTAGAACATGATTTCTCAGACTGTTGCCTTTTGTTGGATTCAGATCATGTTTGCACTTGCCCTGGACCGGATAGATTGAAATGGTCTCGTCCAGTAATTTAAACTAATAAACATTACTCTGTAATATACATGATATGGATATTGAAGTCACTGTTTTCGTAGGCTTTCCCTGTTGAGCCATGTCAAAATCGATTGATTTTGGTTTCCCAAAAAATCACATCTGACTTCGCCAGGGACTCGACCGATGATACACCCGGTATGCAGAAAATGATGCAGGAGGTGCTTCAAATTGTGGTTTTTCAATGGAGAAGGGAACATCTACAGGACGTTGTTTTGACGTATTTTTCTACCCCCAAATGGATTTCCGGTGTCGATTATTTCTCCCTGAAAGCAACATTGTTGGAAGGTTGACCAGTGAAACTGAGAAATCAGGAGAAATCGATGATCAGTGTCTGCGTGGTTGGCCCCGGTCTCCAGCGAGTCTCCTTTTTGTTGTCGTGTCCTAAACAAAAACCCTGAGCACCTGGCGGTGACAGATATGGTTGACACATGATGACACCTTCTATTCTTAGAACTTTGCTGCCCATGCAAGACGCAGGCGTTTCCCATGGATAAAGTGCAGAATGGCCTGGGAGCGGCCAAAAGCTGGGTGTATGGAACTCAGAGACAGGAAGTGTACAAAGAGGGTTCAAAGATTTCACACATATCTTCATAGCTTGTTCAAGCCAAGAGTATTCATTGAAGTGGCACTTCTACTGTGAAAGAAGAGCAGCAAGACCAGTACAGCTTGGCATTTTGGTCCAAGCGCCTACGCCAGGTCTGTTGATTCTCGCAGGGGTTAACTCCCCTTGATAACCAATAGGCAAGTATGGATAAATGGTATTCGAGACCGACCCACACATATTTTTTCCCAAAAGGGGATTGACGTAATTGATTGGAACACAAGATTCTCACGTGTCATGCTTGGGGCTGAATTGCAGTTAGTAAGTGGATAATAAGTTTCTTATTAACCACATGATACGCCAGTTATACATGGAATATCGCCAGTTACACGTGAGTTATGATACCCAAGTGCTGATGATTTTTCCTCGCTTCATTGCAGGATGTAGCCCCCTCTCCCCCAGCTGCACGTCAGGTCGTGGGGCTGGGGCAATGTGGTCCAGGGTGCCAAGAAGGCCGGCTTTTGTCGACGCAAGGCGACTATGGATTTAACCATGGAAAATATATGATGGTATAGTTGGTATAATTGACTACCCTCTGGTTATTTAACACAGCCATGGAAAATAACAATTTTTAATAGGTAAACCATCTATAAATGGACCATTTTCCATGGCTATGTTAAATAACCAGAGGGTAAGTATAATTACTAAGTAAGGGTTGGTTGACTTTTTGGGGGATATACAGTTGTACTATGTTATACTACCTTTCATTATCATAATCCCTGACCTGGGAATCTCCATGAAAACACACCAAGAAATGGGGATTTTGAGTGAGATTTTCCCCATCGGTTCTTGCGCAGGATATGGATCAATATGATCAACCCGCAAAATGGATGGCTCAGTTGAAATACTTTGGATTTGGTTCCTTTCTGTGGAAACCCGGAAGTTTTGTGCTAAAAAAAACTCCACTTTCCCTGCACGTTACTGAAACTTCTGCTTCGCTATGTGACTTTCATCAGGATTGTGGGTGATCTCGAATTCGGAATGGGATGGAATGGGCTATGCACGAAGAAATTGGCAGTGCATTTGACACATTTTGACACCATCCAGCAGGTCATCAGATGTTGTTTCGTATGTTTCATCCTCTGCAGATTGGAGATGACATCGCGAAATCTGAGTTCGTCAAAGAAACCGAGAGGCCGGAGGGGGCTTGAGGGATCAATAGGATGCTACGTGTCAAAATTATATATCACCCAAACTGGATTGTTTCATACTCAAAATGAAACAATTTTATGGATATAAATTGTTGAAGAAGAAAACGGTATACCGTATACGGTATACCTCTACTTCGGCTCATAGCCGCTTCAACAATGGCAGAGCCTCAGCAGATTCTGAAGTGGGAAAAGCCACTACAATTCTGTGGACCCAGATGCATCCCGCCTGGCTGTTCTGATCCAGGATTGCACAGAAAGCTGAAGATAGCATCTCTCAAGGTGCATCAGAGGCACGTCAACGGCACACTTTTTATGCCGTAGCATCTCCTTGGAGATCTTGATTCAACACCATTCCAAAACCTTGCACTATCAGGCTTGCACAGAAATCTGACTGGCATTTTTGGCCGTGGACTGGGTTTTTAGATGTTTTTATATAGTCTATTGCTTATAATTGTGTCCATCTACTCGCAGTGACGGATGCAAATCTCCAGGCACCTCATGGCAATTTGATCGGCTCAAGGCGCTCAACGGCCGCTGGCGGCCGTTGAAAAAAGATGGGCCAAACATCCTCCAGCTGCTGCCAGGAGGAACCTGTCGATGTTCCAAAGGAAGTTGTGCTGCACCAATTCAACGAAGCCGAAGCAGAAGACACCGATGGAATCGGCCCCAGTTCAAAGGCGTCCACCCACGATGTCAAAGACATCATGGTGGAGATTCCAGAGCAAAAGCCAAAAGATGAGGCTGGTCACAGGCTCCAGAAGCCAATGAGCGGGAGCAGTCGCATAGAGAAAATGGAGCAACTGGCAGTTGATCACGAAATTGTTCGTGGCATTCCTCTACGCGAGTCTTTGAAGAATTTCGGGCGACTCTGGCGTTGGTCTCCCCTAGATTTGGTGGAGGAGGACCGCAAGAAACTTTGGAATCGCTCCAAAAAGGTGACAGGATTTGATGTTTTCCTTTCACACACCTGGCTGACAAAAGGAAGGTGGAAAGTGCTCACTTTACTCTTGCGATCTGGCTGGCATATCATGTTGCTTGGGTGGCTTGTGGCCACAATACTTGCAATTCTACTTTGTCTCAATGGCGTTTTGCCCATGGCAGCTGTCTGGCACGTGAGCCTTGATGACTGGAACGGCGACTGTGGAATGGGCTATTGGATTTGGATCGTGGGCATGAGTGGCGGATTTCTGGGACTTTTTCTCTCAGTTTATATCCCTGGCAGTATCAGCAAGTCAGAGGTTTGCTTTCTCGATGTGGCTCAGTCATGCTTCGTCAAATAATTACAGTCATGTTTCGTTTTGTCATTGTTTAAGGTCAGGCCAGGTGTTTTGTCGGATACTGGACGTTCAGGGCCTTGAAGGCCAGCCTTGACACAACTTTGGACACTTCTAACGTCATGAAGTCATGAAATTATTTGCTTTTCCTAATCCATCCACTCCATTCCACTCCTGTGCATTTTGCTAGGTTCTTGACCCTTGGATGGTTTGGATTTTGAACTAGCACGAAAATCTGGGAAAGAGTTGGCGAAGAGATCAGTAATCGTTGTAGGATGTGACGTAGCCGTAGGAGAAATCAGAGGACGACCAGATTGCCATACCAGCTACTGAATTCACCAGTTGCATGATTGGTCTGAGGTGGTAAGTATCCATCAAACAGATTCTGCGCTGATGGAGCGCGGCATCTATGGTCTTGGTGGTTTCTTGAAGGTGGCGAAGGAGTTGCGGGTCTTGTGGAGCCCTCCGTACTTGTCTTGCTTGTGGCAGCCTCAGATACCTCATGATACCTCGATGTGCGGCAGGGTGTTGCGGCATGGTGCCTCTTAGAATCTCAACAGACCAATGAATATAATATAATGATTAGATATGATAACTAGATCTTGATCATTATATAATATAATATGTTCTGATACAATCATAATAATATATTATAATTGTGATCATATGTGGTACTGGGCTGAGAGCTTGTAAGATATTATGGGTGCAAGTCTATTTGAAGCTGTGGAAACCCAACAGGGCTTCTTGTGACACACCCATATAGCGCTCCGCATTGCAGGTGGTGTGTCTTTGAGCTGGCAGCGTATCGCACAGCAAATCCCACCGGGAAGATCGTACTCAACCCACTGTTTATTGATGCCTAGCTGAGTTTTTTTCTTGCCAGCTGCAATGATCTTGGATATGTTGACATATGTTGACATATGTTGACATATGTTGACATGTTTGAGCCTGTAACTTGTTCCAGACTGGTTTTAGCGCATCGTAGAAAGACTTTCCAATTTTTGCACCCTGTTCAACTTGGCGCATACTGCCAGGAAAGTGTCTGCACGATCATGTTTCTTGGCAGCCTGCTGGGATCGTTCCTGTTTCAGTACACCATGCTCCGAAAAATGTCGATGACCATGATGAACTCGGCGTACGTCTTTGGCACGCTGCCGTTGCTCGTGGCCATCCATGTGTTGCGACGTGAAGTGAAGCTGAGGCAGGAACGCTGATCATGGGATGTCAGGCTGTCAGGGTTACCCTCTGGTAATTTAACATAGCTATTGAAAGTGGCAATTTTTAATGGGAAAATCCACTATAAATGGCCATTTTCAATAGCTATGTTAGTTTACCAGAGGGTACACCATCTTACAACTCCATCTTACAACTTCATTTTCTTCTGGAGTTTTCGGAACTCGGTCTTCCACTTCGTGATAAGTTGTATATATCAAACATTATCAAACTGTTTAGTCCACCAGAGTCTGAGATTGAAGACGCACCAAAACCTGCAAATGAATGGGTGGAATTTGATCAGCACCCATTTTGTACTTTGCATCTCTGTCCTGGATGATGCTTCTAGATTTCTTTGATAATTTTTGGTCTTTTGCAGAAGGCCAGCCACATCTTGATCTTGTACTTTTTCAGTGGGGTTCCCGGTTCACAAACTTCAAGAGGGTTTGTCTGAAAATGGAGATTTCACCCCCCAGTCATGGCCAGAATGGGAAACATGGTGGGATTTGAGGGTACCCTATTTTCAGACGAACTTGAAGCGTGGAGTATTCTGGAATCATCAGATTTTCACATGATAAAATGACATGGCATTGATTTGAAGACCATGTGGCAATGTGTTGCGTTCGACCAGTAGGAGTAGAAGTGAGAAGTGCGCGCAAGAGACTACACTGTGGCTACAAAGCACAGACCCACTATACATATACATATATATATATACACACTGTATGTATATATATATATAAATATACTTACTCTTATACTGTATGTATGTATATATATATAGATATGGAGTTTTACTTCGGGATCTTTTTCATTTTGCAGGACATTTAATATCATTTGGAGGTTTCCCAAAATGGGGGTATATACCCCTAGTTATCATCCGTTGTTTTCTCGGATCTTCCAACAAAAAACTCCGGTTTGGGGATCCCCATTGTGCCTTGAATCGGAGGCACCTACTAGCAAAGGGTCTGCGCGAGTTTGACCTGCGCAATGCTGACTGCCGGAATGATTTTGACCGTGAGTTCATTTATGCAGGCATCATCCAGTGGTTGCTGGGCAGTTTGAGAGGTCAAAAAAGCAGGTCAGCTACTATATTTTAGGATATTTTACCTTGTTCAAAACTGCGAGCACCCTGTTTCTTTTTTGCATGAACATCCATTTACCAGCTGAACAGCAGGATGCCAGAATTTCATAGAATTTCGGCACTAGTAGCCATGTCAGTACATCATCAGATCTCATGCAACAGCTGGGTTTTGTATGACAATCAAGGCTTTGATTATATAATGATTCATGGAAACCATATGCCATATTATTTTGAGATATTGTGGTAACCCCAACCATCCCAAAATTTCCCAGATTTCTGGGTGGTTAAAGCACCATCCCCAATTAGAGGTGCTTGAGTCATTTCAGGTATGGCAGCAAGGAAGCCTTCACCAGATATGTCCGTGGATCTTTGAGGAGGGAACTCATTGGTTGTACATATATGCAGTTGAAGATGCCGCCCGCATATCTGGTGTTGATTTGTTTGGCTCCAATCTCTAACTCTTTGGAAAGCCTTTTGGCTTTGCTGCAGCTTGACAGGAGTTCAGCTTTTTGTTCAGCATAGCTTGCGGGTGGCGAAATGGTTTATAGTATTTCATGTTTTCAGCAATTGATGGATGCAATCAGATGCAAATGGGTGCTTTATGTTTAGTTTGAGGGTCTTCAATCGCTTTTCTCTAAGGATGGGTGAATGCCCAGCAGAGATCGTCTTGAGATTTGTTGTTGGACAGATCCTGGCTACGGACATTTGCTGGCAATTGCTGTGTCTCAAATTAGCCCTAAACCTCTGTGACACACTTGGGGCTTTCGTTTGGCCTGGATGTTTGAACTTTGTGACTTTGCTGCAAATCTGAAGCATCTGAAGGGTAAGGTGGTAGCTTTTGAACGCGCTGAATCGCATCGCTTTAGAACGCGCAGAAACGCATTGCTTTAGAACGCGCCGAAAAGCATCATCATCATCATCATCATCATCATCATCATCATCATCATCATCATCACTTTCTTTTCATCATCTTCTTCTTTGTCATCATCATAATCATCATGGTTATCATGATCATGATCATCATGATCATCACCACCATCAACAACAACACACATATATAATTATATATATATATATCACAGTATCGTCATCATGATCAACATCATCATGAACCCCCTCCCCGCAAGTAAACCCTAAATGGCTGGTTCTGAACCCGCCCCAAATAAACCCTAAATGGCTGATGTGAGGGCCCAAGGCAAGAGACGAGTAAGAACCCTTAGAGTGGAATGAGTCGTTCCAACCCTTGAAAGAAAGCTGAAATGATGATGTAAGTACTGGTAGAATGTTCCCCCCCAAATAAACCCTAAATTGCTGGTTCTGAAACCCACCCCCTACCCTCCAAATAAACCCTAAATGGCTAGGTATTTGAGCATGGTGAATTCCAAGGTCAGGGAGTAGTAAGAGCCATTACAGTGGAATACATGATGTAAGGAGCAAATTTCTCATTGGCGTCGTTTTTTGGTACAGACATCGCTTTGGAAGACCCTTCAAAGTGCTGCGCCTGTCAGTAAATCTGATGTCGTGTTTTACGGCTGTGTTCTGAAGTGATGTCTCAGATCGTGTTCTAAAGCTATCCAAAAATGGTTTTGTTCTAAAGTGATGCTTTTCACTGTGTTTTAAAGTGATCCTTTTACCATCTTTTACCCATCTGAAGTGAAGTCTGGGTAGATATATATATATAGTAGATTGATGCTTGTTCAGATATAACTGAGGCTTGGAAAAGAGTTTTTTTGAGTTGATTCTTGGGTCCGGAGTGCGCAGACCCACTATTCTCCACAGAGTCATGTGAGAGAAAACCATGAATTTGAGGAGAGCTCAGGATAGGAATATGTCAATTATGGTTGCTTTGCTTCCATTCGTTTTTATTCATTTAGTGATGTGTATAACGTATATAAGGCGCCATATAGATGCATAATTTATATATCTAGACTTAGACTCTAGACATGATATATCATATTGTAAACATGTTAGGACATAACCCACACGACAACACGAGGAAACACAGGTGTTTTTTTTCCCACCGAACAGAAATCTGTAGCCCAAGTTACTACTAGATTTGATTCTGCACTTCTTCCCTTCGCTCTTAGGACACATCATTCGAGCAGACCCACAGGATCCTATGCGACAGGTCCTTTTTCTGCCTAATTCACTCGTACCTAGAATTGAAAATGCAAGATGAGTAGGCAAACCCAGAGCTCACTGGCTAATCGAAACCTATGCAGATGCTTATAGGGAAAGTGGTCACGTAGATCAGTTTGACATCAACAACATTCTTCAAAAAAAAAAAGTAAACGAATTGGCCCAACAGAGACTCAACATGTTTTCCTGACACTCCACCGCACACCTCTTCACCGAAAGTTTCATCACCGAAAGTTTCGTCATCAAAAGCGGGCATATGCCCGGCCCAGCCTCAGAAATAATAGATGTCTACACCCCTTTTGCTCCTTTTTGCTTCTCTTCCTCTGAACATGCGCGGCTAAAAGTACAAAACTTAAACCGTTGAGAGTCGAGAGGGAAGAAGAAAAGCCGAAAAGCCGAAAAGTCGAAAAGGTGAGAGGGAAGAAGAAAAGTCGAAAAGTCGAAAAGTCGAAAGTCGAAAAGTATACTTTTTGACACTTCACTTTTTGACTTTTTGAATTTTTGCTGGATGCCTTTCCAGCCGAACATGCGCAGCTCTTTTTTCCAGCTTAGGGGCATCCTCCCCCCTTGTTTGATAATTTGTTTTTTTCCTTCCTATTCCATGATTCAGACAAAAATCATGTTGCTCCAAGGTTCACAAGTCCAGTTTCATTCTGCGAAGCAGATAGCTAAGAATTGGAGTCTGCAATCAGCTGCAGCTGCGGCTTGTGCGATGCAATTTTCAAAACTTCTTCCCTTCACCTTCTCTTTTGGATTATCCAAACTTTTACTTACTGGTGCTTAGCAGGGAATGAGAGAATGATCCATAATCACCAGTAATAATCATCCCAGCAACCCCCATTCCTATCCATTCCCTACGTAAAACGCACCAGTAGGTAAAAATGTATCCCATCATATCCAAAAACAAAAAATGGCTATGGATCAATACCTATACATACCATTTTAAGGGGGATGAACATCCATTTACCAGCTATTTTGATGTGAACTACAGGGGTACAAGGGTTTTGACACACTGCCAAATGGCCATGAAACATGGCAAGGTGAACTCTCTCATCATCCACATGATCTATTGTGTCTGCCGAGTGGCTGGCGGGACGATTGGCAACATTGTCTGGATGCAAGGACTCGATGTGAGCTTGCTGTGGCTTGGGGCCAATGTGCTGCTGATTGTGCTGATGATCCTCGGTTCTGAGATTTTTTATGGATGTCTTGTTGGGGAAAATCGAAACCGGAACTCCCAATGGTTCAGAGAACATCGAAACCGGGAACCTCTATATTTTGAGCTTAAAACGAAGGTTTCCACTTCAGATTCTCCCCGAAACCACTCCATCGAAGGCTTGACGGGTGATTTTTGTAGAATTTTGCGCATTTTGGACCCCGAAATATTTTTGGGGTGTTCTTAATTCCCATTTTTGGGGTACCATTAATGACCAGTTTGTTGCATCCGGAATTGCAGACATGGCTGATAAGGTTGAATTTTTACACCATTTTCTTGGGTATCAGCTTCGTTGTCCATGAAAAGAACGATGTTTTTGGATGTTTTGGGAAACGCTAGCTCAGCTATAGATGAGAATAGTCTTCTTCACATCTGGATTGTTGATGTCTCCGGAGATATCCTTGTGTAATGTAGGTTGCTGCAGTGCATATACATGACATTTTGATCATCTTTGGTTTCCAGGGTATTTCTCTCAATGATCATCAAGAAGAAGATTGCCTGCAAGATGGAAGAAGAGCAAGCTCAAGACAGCGTGAGTCCATGTAACTACTCCCCTGTTTCGTACTGAACGGTATTTTTTTTTGCGATCCCTTCCAGTTGTGCCACCCCAGATGGGGAAAACAGCACGGTGGCTGGGCAGTGTACAGAAACGGAGCGCATCCCTGTTAAGGATGCCAGAAACAAATCATGATAAGACGCGAAAAGATGTGAGGGCTGAAGTGAAACTCAAATGTCAGTGACTTCGTGAATACCTTCAGGAATCTACTTAAAGTGGCAATAGAGAAGTTTCTGGAATGTTTTATGAGATATTGAAAGACTACTGAGTTTAGTCAGTGTTAATGGGAACCAAAACAGTATTGGGGATATATATTGGAATGCACCATCGATCTTGAATTTCGACGGTGATTACTGGAGATATTTGTTCCTTTCCTGTCCATCCTTTCCCGCCTTCGTTCCTCAGTTCTAGCCTGATGTGGCAGGCCTTTCGACGAGTGAGTCAAGCCACGGATATCGCTGTCAACAAAGCGGCAGAGACCATGACTCAGTTGGACCAGGCGCGGACGAATGTGTCAGTTTCCTGGGTGGTGATCAACAAACTGAAGCCAGGTAGCCTTCAACATGGTCGCTGTAATGTAGTTTAGACATCTTTAGACATCTTTAGACATGTTTAAATGTTTAGATGGTCAGCATCCGTATTCTTATCTTGAGGAGCGGCGCTGTTTACTTCCTAGATTGTCAATAAAGTTGAAGAAGCTGCTTTTTGGACTTCATCAGACAGTGCAAGGCAACATGACAACAATTCTTGGAAACTATATGGAGGTTTCCTAGAATGGGGGGGGCCTCCAAATCATCCAAACCTATTGTTTTGGGATGTTTAACGGGGATCCACCATTTTAAGAAC